TCCCCAAATTGTGTTTTAGGAAAATTTCCTAACTAAACGGCCCTAAAAAGAACGGGCGAGGAAAAAGAAACGGTTCATTTTGCAAATTTAATAACAAATATAGCTATATTCATTCCCCCTTGTGCATCTATGTAGGTGCATAATTTAGATGCACAAAGGGGAATAAATATAGCTGTACTTGTTATTAAAGCTAGAAAATAAAAATGGGTCATTGCCATACATATGCAAACCTTTCTATTCCTTGCCATATATATTCTTTTTTCAACAATTATTGCCATATATTTTCAATATTTTCTAGTTTCCATAGATATATATCTCTTATTCTTACATCTATATATAGCCGTATAATGAACAAATTATTTAACATTTTTGTGAAAAATCAATCTTTTCTTCAAAGAGGTAATCACTAGTGATATATAGCTCATCATGAGGTCATTGATCGTTGTCGTGTTGGCTTTCATCCTTCTGTTTAACCTTGCAACCTTTACTCAAGGTACATAGATGCATACTTTTTTTTTTTTGTTCTTTTTTTTGAGTTATATATAATCAAAATTTTATTGTTATCGTATTAGTTAATTAATTAATAATTTTTTATACAAGTTGTATTTTCTCAAATCCAATGTTGAATTTAATATTTTCGTTCATATAAATTATACATGCCAAATTTTAAATTAATAAGATATGTTTAACTATTTCATAGTTGCACTTAATTGTAAATCATTAAATAAATAATAGAAAATATAGTTTTGTGTTTGTATAGTTATAGTGACAAATTTCAGATCACCTTAAAATTAATTTCACTTGAATAATTTACATAATTAAAATGTTAAATCCAACAATTAATTTAACAAAATTCAATTCAATAGAGAAAATTATTGACTAATGTAAATTATACTACCATAAGTTAATCTTATCTATATAGGTGGAATACCCAAATCTATTTCTAAACTATAATAGTAGAGATAGATCCACCTACTAACCAAAAAAAAAAGGGATAAATCACCTCTCCAACTAATCTTTCAATATTGTAACTTACAATTACAAAATACATTTTATAGCGAAACTAAGAGGTAAAATCATAAGATTTTTGTTTGTTGCCTTGCTCACTTTCATCTTTCTATTCAACTTAACAACCCTCACCTAAGGTATATATATTTTTTCATTGTTTTTAACCGTTATTGTTATAATGACATTTTATATATCTAGAAGGTTAAAACTCTATTTTGATCCCTCTATTTTAGCAAAAAATTTCCTTTTAGTTCCTTTACTTAAAAAAACTCATTTTAAAGTTTATTATCCAACCCTTTTTAGTCCCTCTATTATCTTTGTACACATGGCACATGAGATGACAGAACTTCCAAAGTAAAAGAACTAAAAAAAACTCATTTTTAATTTATTTATTTTGAAATTTTTGTTATTTAATGTGTTACATATATAAAAAGATAACAGAGAGATTAACAAATATTTATAATTCTAGAACAGAGAATAACACTTAAAGATTATTCATTAATTTTATGGATATTCTTATCAGAAACACTCATCCATACAACAGGAAACACTTATCTAGAAAAAAATTCAAACGTCCTTACTTCTTGCCATGTATATATATTTGGCTAATGTCACTAAAAATCCCCTCTTTGCAAAAGAAGTCATTCTCATCCTATGATCCCTCATTTACCAGGCGTCATAACTCCGTTCGGGCTGCCGACAAAATCCTTCAAAATTTAATGGTAAAATGACATTGTCGGTCCCTGAAATTGCAGTTCCAGTACACTTTGATCTACAAAGTTCAATTTTACTCAAGTTTTCCATAATATTTTGAAAGAGTTGCACTTGAGTCTCAAATTTTTTAAGGATATATTAATTACAGTTTTTTGTAATTGATTTGTATAGAAAAAATAAAAGTTGATTTTAAATTTATTAATAACCTAATTAAAATCTTCCATATGGTATTGATGTTAAAAATAATATTTATTTTTACATTTTCTTATAAAAATATATTACAAAAATATACAATTAACACACTCTTATAACTTATACTCTGACTTTAGGGTACATTTAAAAAAAAATGCTTTATAATTTCATGCAATCTAATTCTTTTTTGTACAAATAATAAAAATTATGTAACTTCCATTAAAAATCATATGCAATTCATTCAAATATCAACTAATTTAAGCTTAAAGTTATAAATTAAAACATATAAAAATTTGTATCATCAAGGTGCAAAATCAAGTTTTTGTACCTTTCCTTGTCTTTAAAAAATCTTTGATACCTAATTGGGAATTTTATGAAGTGTTATAATCAAATTGATGAAGTTGTAGAAGATACTAATACAACTTGTGAGTGTAGGGTAAATGTAATCATATAAACATTATGAACTGATGATTTTATTTCCTTAGTTATGTGGACATAACTAGAAAAGAAGTATCTCCTTTTTGCCTTTTTTTTTTTTTATAATATTGTTGTTCTTTTCTTTTTTTTTAATATGAGTTATGTGTATCGAAAAAGTTAAATATCATTTTTTTATTTTTAAGAATTTTAAATTGGCTATCAAAAACTTGATTTTTCACTCTAGTTAGATGAATTTTATATATTTTAATTTATTATTTTAGTATGAAGTTTATTGATATATATTTAGATGAGTTAAATGTGATTTTATTAGATTTTATATGATTTTTATTATTTATATAAAAAAGGACTAGAATGCATGAAAATATAAAATTTAAGACTTAAATGTTACTCTTTTAAAAAGTTTTGGGACTACAGTGTACAAGAAAAGTTAAAATTAGGACCAAATCGACAATAATTGAAATTTGAAGATCAAATTTTACTGAAGCTAAAATTTAAGGGACCGACAATGTTATTTTCCTATTAAATTTTGGAGGAGTTTAACGGATAAGGAAGGGAGTTATGAAGTCCGTCAATGGTGGGATGATGAGTGCCCCTTTTCTAAAGTTAGGGGATTTTTATGAATTTTTTAAAATAGATAGATGATAATGATTTCTTTTACCAAGTTAGGAATTTTTAATGACATTAAACGTTCTTTTTCAACTATTACCATATATTATCTCTTATTCTTACATCTGTATATAGTCATATAATGAACAAATTATTCAACATTGTTGTGAAAAATCAATCTTTTTTTCTAAGAGGTAATCACTAGTGTTATATAGCTCATCATGAGGTCATTGACTATTGCCGTGCGGCTCTTGTTCTTTTGTTTAACCTAACCACCTTCACTCAAGGTACATATTTACATCCTTTTTCTTGTTCTTTTTTAGAGGATTTATATAATTAAAATCTTATTGTTATTGTATTAACTACTCAATTAAATTTTTTTATACAATTTTTATTTTCTCAAATCAAATATTAGATTTAACGTTCTATTCGTATACATCATACATGTTAAATTTTAAATTAATTAAATATGTTTTAAGTATTTCATAATTATGCTTAATTTTAAATTATTAAATAAAAAATAAAAAATAAAAAAATACTATTTATTTTGTTTGTCTAATTATTGTTACAAGTATTATATCATCTTCAAATTAATTTAACATGTAAATTTTATATAAATAAAACACTAAATTCAATATCTAATTTGACAAAATAAAAATTTATAAAAAGAATTATTGACTCATGTAAATTATATTAATGTAAATTGATTTTATCTATATAAGCTGAATGCCTAAATCCACCCTAACGCTACAATGGTAGGGGCAAATCCATCCCTGTACCAAAGACAAATCACCCTTCTAATTAATCTTTCAACATTGCAACTTACAATTACAAAATACTTTTAATAGCCAAATTAAGAGATAAAGTCATGAGACCATTGTTTGTTCCTTCGCTCACTTTCATCTTCTACTCAACTTAACCACCTTCGCCTAGGTATATATACTTTTTCATCTTCTTTAATCCTTATTGATATAGTGGATATTTATATATCCAGAATTTGATGTATATATGGATCCTAATTTCTCTTCTTATTTTTATCTGCAGGGAAACAACCAAAATATTGTCCCCGAACAGAAACATATCCACAGCCTTGCGACGAAAATGGCTCGTCGCAATGTCTTCTTGATTTTCTCAATTACTTTGGTGCGGGTTCCATGCCTAAAGGGTGCTCGTGCAAACCTGCAGGAGCGACTGACCATTCTTGCACCTGTCAAATTGTTTGCACATAAGAAATTATAGCAACAAAAAATGCCCAATGTTGTTTTTATGTAATAATGGCTAACATATAGGGACAAAGCCAAGATGGAGTTCAACATGAATAAATCCTAATATATTATATAAGAAAGATAGATTTCCTTTCTTTTCAAATACTTTCTTATCTATTTTTAAAATTTATTACCAAAGGTCATGTGCAATGGCAAAATTTTATTTAGTATTTATATTTAAAATTATCAATCTCTTATCGATAGATATATTAATTTATTTCTTGAAACGATATATATTAAATATTAAAAAAATATCATGTATTGTTTTAAATTTATCATTATAAATATATATTTTAATAAAAATTAATTATAGATATATAATAATGTCGGTTAGACATAATTCAAAAATAAAATTAATGATTAAAAATATAAATTTATAAATTAAAAATTAATATTATTAATATTTAAAAAGCTAAATTCATTGTTAATATTCCCTCCTTCCAAAATAACGGTCTTTTTTTCTTATTTTGAATTTTACCTAAATTAATGATTATTTTCTTACTTATTATGGTAAACAGAATTTTTTTTTAAGTTAACTTTACCATTATCCATTTATTTTAATTATTATCCTATCACAAAAAACCTTATTTTATCTTTTAGGTTTTTACTAAGAGAAACATAGGTAAATACATAAATAATCTCTAAATCCTACCAACGAAGGGTTGGATCAAATGGTAAGCGATTTGTTCCAGCTTAAGTAAGGTCTCGAGTTCAAGATCTTGTGTACGCAGCAGCACCCGCTGGGAGACTCACCCACCATTTCCATGTGCGCGACGCGAGTCGGGTCCGGATTAGTCAGGACAAAGCCCAGATACCAGGCTGGAAACCAAAAAAAAAAAAATAATAATAATCTCTAAATCCTTAATTTAAAAAAAAAAAAAAACAATTATCATGGGTCAGTATTTAAATTTAAAGGATTAACTTAGTTCATTACGCAGTTTTTAAGAAGTGAAAGGCTATTCTTTTTCCATCCTTGATCATGCATTCATCTTAATAAATAACTCATCTAATCTCACCCTCGCCAACCATGTGTTTATACCTATGCCTTATCTCAAAAATATCATTCAAAAATAAATCAGAAAATGGCATGCTTTCTCCTCTCTAGTCGTCGTCCCCTTCCCCAAATAAATACCCAGTCATCCAACTTTGAAATTGAAACTAAAAATTACAGTATACCTCAACTTTCTTCTCTTTCTTTGCAAAAATCAAATAAGCAGGCCATTAATCATTGCTGCCTCACTACAATACCGATTACAGATTACATTGTTTCTCAACTTTGTCTTCCTCTCTTTTGGCCAATATTGATTAAGCCTAAGCAAGCGCCAGCCACAAATCACCGCCTTGCCTCCAGTTTTTTCAGTTTTCACCACCATTACCTCACCACATAATGCCAAATTATTCAGCACCACCCTCATAGTCACAGCCTCACCCTTCTTCCATCTTTTTTCCTTTTTTTTTTTTTTTCTCCTTGTGAAAATGGCTTGCAAACTTGTACCGGCCAAAATTTTACATACCATTTGGTACAGATATTTCCAGAGATATGCAAGTTTTCGGCTGATACGGCTGGTATTTTGACTGGTACGGTGTAATGCTTATATTGTACCAGTTTTTGCCTAAAATCGGCATGTAATGGCTGTATCACCGTACCGAGATTGACAATATTGATTATGTTAATGTCACCTTATATCATAATTGACATCATTTCATATAAACTCACAATTTTATATAGTTGACCTTCTAACAAAACATTTAATAGGGCGCCTCTTCTCCAATGCATACAGTTAAATAAAACTTCTTGAAAAATTGC